TTTTTAAATATGCCATTAATTTTTCTCAAATTCATAATTATACTCCCGCTCCGAAGGAGAGGGGGGTATACTGTTTTACCCTTGTGTCTGTCTGTAACAAATTTTTCGTCGCAGTTTTCTAAGAAACTACTCATCACAGATGCTTGAAATTTTAACACAATCTTCTCTGAGGCATGTCATACGTTGGGATACATTTTTGGTCAAATATGTTGTCAACTTCCTGTTTGTTTTTGCGTCTGTTGGTTTCATACATAACAGATTTTTTGTCGCAGTTTTCTCATCAACTTATCATAGCAGATGCTTGAAATTTTAGTACACTGTTTGTTAAGGCATGCGTTATGGTGGGATTTAGTTTAAATGAATCTGCTGTCAACTTCCTTGTTTGTGCATCTGTCCGTAATGGAACTTGAGTATATTAACATGATATTGTTTATTCACATAAGAGCGGGGGTTTTCCTAGTGAACATTGGCTCACAGATTTCTTGTTATCTCCCCTTTGAAAAGGGCATGGCCCTTCATTTGAACAAACTTGAATCCCCTTAACCCAAAGATACGTTGTAGCAAGTTTGGTTTAAATTTGCCCAGGTGTTCTCAAGAAGAAGATGAAAATGTGAAAAATTTACAATGACAGCAGACAACGGACAAATTTTGATCAGAAAAGCTCTGCTGAGCCTTTGGCTCAGGTGAGCTAAAAAGAAAAAACATTTTACGATTGAATTCAAATTATCTCAGAAATTAAACCAAATAAATTGCTGTAAAAACCCAAGACTTCTATTACGGGGGCATAAAAAAAAGATGTGTTTGTGAAACACGGATGCCCCCCGTATGGCAACATGCCAAATGCAAATTTTATATATTGGTACCAAAAGTAGGGTATTCTCATTGGAAATACAATTGTAAAATAGTAAAGAAAGCCAAGGTTTAAATATTTCATGAGTACAGAAATCTTCAAGGTCTAGGTCATTCGTATCCTATGAAAGGCCTTGCCACAAAAATACACATGTAAAGTATGGAAGCTCTAGCACTTATCGTTCAGAAGTTATTGCCAAGGTTAAATTTTCAAAAAGTAGGTCAAACTTCAAGGTCAAAGTTGAAGGGTTGCAATTAAATGAAAGGTCTTGTCACAGGGATTAAATATGAAAAGTATGAAAGCATTAGCCCTAAACCTTTAAAAGGAATGGTCAAGGTTTTTTTTTTATTAAGGAGTGAATTTAATAGCTACCCATTTTATACGGTATAAACTGGGTTGGGGCAGTTTACGCTTTATAAACCGCGAAGCGGTTTATAAAAAAGCGTAAACTGTTCCAACCCAGTTTATACCGTATAAAATGGGTAGCTATTAAATTCATTGCTTATAATTTAATTTTCATTAATTTGATGTAAGGAAAAAAGATGATTGTTCTAACAAAATGACTTCAATTTGTACAAATTTTGAATGTAACGTCAGGCGGATTGATACGTTTTTGACGTAAGTCATTGTGACGTAGGCAACCCATTTTATACGATATGAAGTAAATCTTTTATCCAATCAAATACAGCGTTACAACCAGAATTAAATTATAAGTAGGTCAAACTCCAAAGTCAAAGGGTCAAAAGACTTGCCATAACATGAAAGGCTTTGTCACAAGGATTAAATATGTAAAATGTGAAAGCATTAGCCATAACCCTTTAAAAGTTATGGTCAAGGTTTGCTTTTTGAAAGAAAGTCAAACTCAAAGGTCAAGGTCAAACGGTCAAAGTTCTTGGTATCCAATGAAGGGTCTTTTTCAGAAGAATTACATATGTGAAGTATGAAAGCCCTATCCCTTACTGTTTAAAAGTTATGGCTAAGGTTAAAGTTTTTTCACAAGTAAAAAAAGAATATCCAAGGTCAAGGTCAAAAGATCAAGGTTGTTGGTATCCAATGAAAGGTCTTGCCACAAAAAAAAATACATATGTGAGGTATAATGTCCTGGTTACTACTATTCAAAAGATATGATTAAAGTAAAAGTTTGGAAATTTTGTGTTTAAGTGGGTCAAACTCCAAGGTCAAGGTCAAAGTCAAAGTTCTTGGTATCCAATGAATGGTCTTTTCACAAGAATTACATATGTGAAGTATAAAAATCATAGCTCCACTAAATCAAAACTTATGGGCAAGGTTAAAGTTTTTGCGGACAAACAGACAGACAGAGAGACAGACGGATGGACACGACAAAAACTATATACCCCAGAAAATCGTTTACGGGGGTATAAAAAGAAAAGCCTTTTTATGGGGGTAAGGTGGGGTGATAATGCTTCATACTTAACTTTACATTCCAACTTAACACAGATCCGCGTTTTCGAGGGTGTGTGTTTTCTAGATGAGGGCAAGGTCACATTTTACTTAGTATGTATATAATGACTGCATGCACCCCCACTAGATCCGCGCATGACAAAAATAATGTAATTGCTAGCTCTCGAGAGCGCTTGCAAAGTTCTACGGTAGTCCATATGTCTGGAGTACGCATGCTCGGCTTCACGGTCGAATTGGGCATTCTGGGAAAACTTCGTTGTGTCATTAATGTATGTTTGATTATGAAGTTTAAAGTAAACTACACAAGAAAAACTTTCCAAGATTCTAGACATCTAGCTTGCGAGTTACTGTTACTCAACTATTATTCGCGATCGAGTGTCACGACTTACTGAAAGTCACGAATATTAATCGCCCCGAACAATTTAATTTTCTTTGTTTTATGTACAATGTTTCCTTATTTGTGGAAATTATAAACTGACGAATCGCAAATAATAGTTGGTTTACAGGATACCATCTTCCTGGATATACTGTATACAGGGTTATTTTCGCCCTTTCACACTTGCAAACAATTTTGCACCGTTTTAAATTCGCCCAGTCATAGTTTTGTTTAAGAAATTATGCTGTATTCTTTAAATTCGCCCCGTTTTAAATTCGCCCAAATGAAAGTAGGGCGAAAGGGGCGAAAATAAAACGGGGGCGAAAATTTCCCTGTATACAGTATTGCAGTAAACCTCATAAAAACTTTTATTTCTTTTCAAAATTTGTCGACAAGACACAAAAGCGTTTGTTAAAATGCATTTCCACACTGATATATTTTAATTCAATAAATTACACTTCACAAAAAATTATAACTCTACGAGGGTTGTTAGAGAAGTTCGCGGACACAATGAATTACGGGAAATCTGTTGTGTACTGTAAAGTATGACCTATGTCTGAATAAATTCCTACATTTTGTTTATTGGTATGTAAAAAATCAGGTCCATATTATAAAATCTAGAACATTTACAACGATTTTTACTATGAGGTAATGGGATTCACGGAGCAATCACTTGACGTAAGGCGACGTGACAACCAGATTTCAATCCATTAAGCTTTATCGCAGTTCTATAAATCTTTCGTTTCTTCAGATATTTCTTATCTTTTTTTCTATTTTAAAATTAAATATCTATATCAAGACATGTTACTTTTCTTCTATAATGTCTTTTGTACTGATTCGGATATTATTCAGATTAAAAAAAAGTCTGTGAAGTTAATCGATCAGGTATGGAAACTATGCAAAACCATATGGGCGCAACACAAGGTCCATGCGATACGGGGGTATTGAAGTATCGATGGTGTTAATCATTCAAAATGTTAATCCTTCCATTCTTTTGAAGCTACAACCATTTGAAAACTTGACCTTTGTAGGTGTAGGAAATTTCTGACAGATCTTAAACATTTTAATCTCTTTTTATACATTTTCTAGTCTGCATACACAATTTTTCCGTAGTGGAGTGCTCCATGACGCTTAATGACGTTCCGATTTTTGGCTGTGTTTTTACGCATTGATCATTTATAAACAGCTATAAAACAGTCATATACCCTCCAATTTAGTTCAAAATTTCTCCCAGTGACTTTTCATGAATACTTTAGCGGCAGGTAAAATATCATAAATCTCTGTGCGCTACAATTGTGCAATTTTTAATTTCAATTAAAAGTCTTTGTGATGTAAACGTGCCAAAATGTAGCATGCTCCGTGAAGCAAGTTTAATCAAAATAAAAAAGCGGTATATTTTTTAATAATCACGGGAGAGCACCAAATTCTTGTATATTTTTTGGAAAAAAGGTAAAGATTTTATCTGGAAAGTTTGAACGGTTTCGTTGAAATAGCGCGCTCACAATAGAACTTGTCCGCGAACTTTTCTAACACCCCTCGTACTATCACACTCCAGACTCATTAAACATTAAAGAATTCAGCAAAATAAATTAGTTGATCACGAGCCTTTCTTTCTGTGTTTAAAAATTGCTACGGCGCTAGATCACCAATTTTCTTTCTATGCGCCCGAATCGAAAGATCCGAGGCGTATATTGTTTTTGTCCTGTCTGTCTGTTTTTCTGCAAACTTTATCCATAACCTTTGAACAATGAATGGTTAAGACTTCATATTTGATATGCATACTCAACTAATCAACTTCTTTCTAATAATACCAAAGTCATGACCTTGTGACCTTGACAGTGACCTATATGCTATAAATAGCTCTTTCGAACTTTGTTGTTATTTTCTCCCTCGTTTCACTCCTCCGCAAATAAATATTTTCTTGACTAATTTATTGAAAAACAAAGAAAAAGAATATACTGTAGGATTGTTGCGTTCGTTACAAATCGCATTTTTATTCAAAACAAACAAATCAAACTAAAATTTTGCATGATAAACAATGCAAGGGCTTAGACACAAAACAACCTGCGATTCTTTGTAACGAACGTCGCATTAATCGAACATTCCCTGGTAAAACTATTTATAGTGAGCGCTAAATCGCTCGTGCATGAAAAACCAGTTTCTTAAGATACGAAGTTTCACGGAGAATACCGAAGTAAAAACGTAAAGAAATAAATCTATCTTCATTTAAAGATAAACTTGTTTTATATCATGTTTTGATATTCAATACGTATTTTCGTAGAGGTAGACAGAACCAGATCATTAAATTTTCTGTGTGACAGTTATAACTTAAAAAATGCACAGACAGGCGGTCTTTGATCCTGTTTTCTGCTGTAGGAATTAGTTATATGTGACTGCAAATTACCGGGCAGTCGGACTACTGGGCTGTCGGACTATCGGACCGTGGGACTATTGGGCTGTCGGACTATCGGACCGTGGGACTATTGGGCTGTCGGACTATCGGACCGTCGGAATACTGGGCGGACACCTAATTTTTTTATGTAGGTCTATTTCAAAGTATCAGATCAAAATTGCTTAAATATTTTCATTTTTGGAATGAACACTTTTTGTTGGTTAATTGTGTGACTTTGCCTTACTTAAAGACATATTCGTTGAGGTGAGCTCTGTAATCTCTGATTACCTATGTTTTTTTCCCTGCATGAGTGGCGACAGGTCGCCTGTTGTCATGGTATAGTAAACAATAGATATTGAACACATCGTCAAACCGGATACATTACAAAACAGGTCAAGCAAATCTTGTCATGGATAACTCACGACCGTGTTCTAAAGATGAATTCCGAGTGAAAAATTTTCTACTGGAATACGATCATCCACGTGATTTTGTCAAGTTTCAGGTAAGAAACATACCAAATCAGCTGTGACATTAATTCGTTGCCCAATACACTTGTTTCCCACTGTTTATTATTAAGAAAGAGTGAAATGCAGTTATCTATCACCGACTGTTGATAAATGAGAATGATAAATGATAAATGAGAATGCTGTCAAAATTTTATAATTTTCAAATTTTATAGTACATTATATTGTTCCACCCAACAAATTAAAAATTCCTATATTGCCGACTGATTACTGATGCAAGCAGATTTAACACGAACCCATAATTCAGCAATTCCAAGGTTTTTAAAAAACAACTTAGCCTATGGTTATTCAACACAAATAAGAGATCAACAATGATAGCTAGGACTTTTTTGCTTGAGGATTCTCTTCAATTTTGATATACTATTTACAGACTAAAGATGAAAGAATTTATCCTTTCCTGTAACGCAACTTCACATTTCAACTCAGGAAGCAAAGGGTGATCTATTCCGGAAGTCGACACTCTTGATCCTGGCCTTCGTTCTGATATAATATTTAGGTCTGTTCATCTTCATGTCCTTCTGTATTTTTTTTTTTTTTTTTACTTTTCGGACAATTCTCCTATTTTTCATAATAAAACGTCTTATGATAAATCCATATGCCTGAAAGAAGGCCTCCTGACCTTTTAAATTTGAGGAAAGGGTCAGACGGGGACAGCTGCTGCTGATGATAAAGTCGTTTTGAGATAATTCTTATTTTTCAACAAAGTATTTGCAATAAAATTTAAAATGAAGGCTTTCTATAACTTAAGAAATACCACTGTAATGTAATGAAATTAAACCCGGCAAAAGTTGACAAGATCAAGGTTTTTAAATTGTCTAGATATTTATTATTGTAAAGTACATCAGGCAGGGCATGATATAACAAACCTAGGTTCTGGCTTAAAATAATGTGTCAGGGAACAAACTAGCTGCAATAATTAATATTGCCCTCTCCGATTTTTTTATCTGATGTTTTCTGGAAAGGGCTACAATTCCACAGCATCTCCATAATGGTGCAAAAATATTTTTTAAATACGGTCGACTGCAGGAAGAATAAATTGTTTTTACATTCAACTTACTTCTAATAAAACGAAATTTTATTCATTGTCGACAACATAGCCCGTTAAACGTGATAACCATGTAAAATAAATCTTGTTTACATGTCGCTTCTACTCTGCAGCCATGACAGTTCACGCGTTACGTACTGAGACTTGCGTTTGAAATATCTAACTCAATAAAGCAGGCATCGGTGTTTATAAATAATCATGATCACTAAACATCGATAAATAAAATCATTCCATGTGCTATTTTTTAATAAATAGCGATATTTAGGCTTAAAATAAGGTAATTCCAAAGAAATCAGCCCCCTATAGATCCTTAATCTCATGGGTATGGAACACCAAATTAACATATATTCAAATATTTGTACCTATCTTCAAATAATTGCACCTATCTTCAAATAATTGTACCTATCTTCAAATGAATTGAAGATAGGTACAATTGAATTAAAGATAGGTACAATTGAAAAAATAGGTACCGCTATAGGTATAAATAATTATACCTATCTCTATAATTTACCTAGGTACAAATGAATTATACCTATCTCTAATGGAATTACACCTATCTTCAATTCAATTAAAGATAGGAATTATACCTATCTCTAATTCATTTGAAGATGTATAATTTAAAGATAGGTACAATTGATTTGAAGCCGTTCAATTAAGACATATCCATAAAGGAATTGAAGATAGGTACAATTCAATTATAAGGTTCAATTCGTTTTATGTTGTTGGTAAATAATGAACGCTCCCTTGGAGACAATATTGAGCACGCACAGAACCTACAAAGTGACGACAACAAGGATGAAAGGAGAAATAAAGGTTAATTCCCTCTCAAAAAGTAAATACTTAAAAAATACAAATGTAGGTAATCTCGTATTGCAGCCAGATGAAGAAATAAACTTTCGCGCCAGCTGTGACGAGGAAATGACGTATGATAAAGGGAGTAGTTGTTATTGCCAGTAATTAAAGATAGGTTCAATTCAAAACATTTCTATCTTCAATTCATTGCCTTGTTCTATCTTCAAATCAATTACGTAATTAAGTCCACTAATTCAATTGAAGATAGGTACAATTATTTGAAGATAGGTAAAAATATTTGAATATATGTTAATTTGGCGTTCCATACATGGGCTGTCCCAAAGTAATATCTGTTAAGATCAGTAAACATGGCGGATAAATTTAAGTTGTCATGTTGACATACACAAAAAATAACCGCTATATGGATTGTTCTGCATATTTTTGGATCGATTTATGTCTGGGATAACTACATTTAGAAAGTCCGGGTAAGACATGTTAATTAAATAGCCGTTCACTGACAGTAGAAATCCGTGTAAATGTTCCAGTTGCACCATATCTAGAGTTGTAGCCCTCTCCCAAACTGATAGAAAAAAATAAAATAAAATGAAATAAAATAAACGGAGAGGGCTACATTATTGCAGCTAGGGACAACCATTTCCTTAATTCCTCTACTAATTAGTAATTAAGTCCACCTACCTTCAAGAAAAAAAGACCTTTAAAATTTATAACCGACCGGTGTAAAAAGCTCCAAAAATTCTTAGTTCCTGGCGTCTACTTTCTAAAAACCTTGTACAGTAGTTTAAATGTTCCTTGTATCTGGGATCATAACATTTTTAAGATATCATAGACAATATGATTGATTGGTTATAGTCAGTTTGTCAAGTTTGCTAGTATACTACATCCAAATATCACCATTAAATTTTATTCAAGCCACGACAGTTAACGAATTAATCTTTTTTTCGCTTTTAAAACTAGCAACTACATTTTTAAGTTGCACGTGCACGTATAAATCTACATAGCCTATCTGTGAAAAATCAAACACAGCAATATAGCTAGTTACCCCATATCCAAGCATTTCCCTACTTTTAGCATTGTAATACCTTATCAGTGTTTATAATGACGTTAATAAAAAAACTGTCATGTCTAGTTACGGAACTGGTGTAAATGGCAGTGAGGTCACCCATGACCCCTAACAAACGGTCAAATGGTGTATCTACCTACATGAACCTGTGTCCGCAAGACCAACATTAGCTATCTAAACACGTGCTCCACGCTGGTGGATGCAGCCTGCGTCATTTACGTTTACTTTTGCCGAGTGGACATTAAAAATGGTTTATATTAGATCATATGAATATGAATTCTGATTAATAAAAATTAACATGTTCATGGTTTTCATCAAGCCGTTTTGAGTTAATTCTTTTGATTGTGAAGTGCTGAAAAAATATATTACTGAACCCACATATACGGAATTTTTCAAAATTCTGAAAACCGTTTTTGGTTTGAAAATTACTGAAATATATAATTAATGTATTTGTGAAGAAATTACTTACATTATTCAAGTTCTATATAAAATGCTGCCATTGTTGAACTTCAACACGAACCCGAATGTCCGTCTATACTCGTTTTGCTACACATTGTTTACAAAGTGTACACACGTGAGCAGAATCCAGATCCAGAGCGTCATTTAATAATATACACACACAGAATGATTAATTTTTTTTAAAAGGAAATTGTATGATAATTTGTCTATAAACTTTAATACAATTGTTGATATACTATTATCAACAAGTGAAAAAAAGATCGAAGAATGACCTAAATATTCTCTATTATCAAACATTAAAAAAAAAAAAAAAGGTATGCATACTCCAATATTGATATTTTTTAATTACACCAAGGTCAATAATATTTTGACCTTATTTTTGATTTCCTATATGAAATAAAAATAGCTTTTTATCTGCAAACTTTAACCTTCGCCATGACTTGTGTGAACCATGAAAAAGTAATATACTTCATGTTTGGTATGCATACTCCACTATATTAAAAACCCTATATCAGTTTTGCACACCAAGGTCAGTATTGTGATGCAGTGACCTTGACTGTGACCTGTATTCTAAAAATAGTTTTTCATACCTTTGCCATAACTGACCCCCAACAACAGGTCAAATGGTTTATCTAGAGACGCATAAATAGTATGCATACTCCACTAATTAATTTCTTTCCAAACGACACAAGACCAATGACCTTGTGACCTTGGCTGTGACCTGTATTGATTAACATGTTCATGGTTTTCATCAAGCCGTTTTGAGTTAATTCTTTTGATTGTGAAGTGCTGAAAAAATATATTATCGAACCCACACATACGGGATTTTTCAAAACCTATTTCATTCAAATGACACCAAGGTCAATGACCTTGACTGTGACATATATGCTAAAAATAGCTTTTTTAAAGAATTATTTTGCCGCCGGGCGCATAGTGTTTCACAAACACATCTTGTTTATTTTCTAAATCAGCTCTTGTCCAGTTTTTCCTGTATACTTCTATCTATTATATTAATAAAATGTAGAAAACAGCGAATAATCATCATTCAATTATTTATTTATTTTTTTATGCCCCCGTAAACGAAGTTTCGGGGGTATATAGCTTTGTCGTGTCCGTCTGTCTGTCTCTAGCTGTCTGTTTGTCCACAAAAACTTTAACCTTGCCCATACCTTTTGATTTAGTGGAGCTATGACTTTTCACATGTGTATTCCTTGTGACAAGACCTTTCTTTGGGTACCACCAAATTTGACCTTTTGACTTTGACCTTGGAGTTTGACTCACTTTTACACCAATATTCTTAACTTACATATATTGTGGAAAGACCTTTCACTGAGCACCAACAACTTTGACCTATTGACCTTGACCTTGGAGATTTCTGTACGTATGAAAAAACCTTAACCTTGGCCATAACTTTTAAACAGCATGGGATAGGGCTTTCATTCTTCACATATGTAATCCTTATGGAAAGACGCTTCATTTGATACCAAAAACTTTGACCCTTTGACCTTGGAGTTTGACCTACTTTTAAAATATAACATTGACCATAATTTTTAGAAGGGTTAAGATAAGGGCTTTTATACCTCACATATTTAATCCCTATGACAAGACCTTTCATTTGATATCAAGAACCTTGAATCTTTGACCTTTGAGACTGACCCAGTTTTACACAAAAAATCCAAACTTTTACTTTGGCTTTAATTTATAAAAATATATACTACAATTTTGAAATTCAAATATCATTTTTTGTGGCAAGACCTTTCATTTTAAATCGACAATTTTGAACTGTTTACCTTTTCGTACTTACGAAAAAACTTAATTTTGGCTATAACTTTTGAATGGTAAGAGCTAGGGCCTTCATACTTCATATATGTAATCCTTGTGAGAAGACCTTTCATTGGATATCAACTTTGACCCTTTGACCCTTGGAGTTTGACCTACTTTTTACAAACTTTAACCAAGGCCATATATTTTTAACAGTAAGGACTAGAGCTTTCATACTTCACATTTGTAATCATTGTGACAAGACCTTTCATTGGATATCAACAACTTTGACCTTGGAGATTGACCTACTTTTTACAAACTTTAACCTTGGCCAAGTTTCTAAAAATAGGCCTTGTCTCAAAGATTACATATGGAAAGTATGAAAGTGCTGGCCCTTATACCGTTCATAACCTTTACCCTTTGATCTTGACCCTGGAGTTTGTCCTACCTTTAAAAACGTTAACACTGGTCAAAAACTTTGAACAGGTTTTATATTTCAGATTCGTTTTTCTTGTAGAAGGCTTTACCTTAGGTACCAACATATTTGATATGCATTTGAGAAAGCTTAACCTTCGCTATGTTGCCATAGGGGGCATCTGTGTTTTACAAACACATTTTGTTTAATATGGAAGTCTTAATTATGCGCCCGGATCGAAAGATCCAAGGCATATATTGTTTTTGTCCTGTCTGTATGTTTGTCTGTTTGTCTGTAAACTTTAATCTTCGATATAACTTTTGAACCATGAATGAAAGAGACTTCATATTTGGTATGCATACTCCACTAATTAAGCTCTTTAAAATGGCATCAAGGTCAATGACCTTATGACCTTGACTGTGACCTATATGCAAAAAATAGTTTTTTTTCTGCAAACTTTAACCTTCGCCATAACTTTTGAACCATAAAAGATATAGACTTCATATTTGGTATGCATATACCACTGATAAAGCTCTTTTAAATGACACCATGATCAATGACCTTGTGACCTTGACTGTGACCTATACGCTAAATATATAGCTTTTTGCCGGCAAACTTTAACCTTCGCCGTAACTTTTGAACGAAGAATGATAGAGACTTAATATTTGCCATGCATACTCCACTAATTAAGTCCTTTTACATGACACCAAGATCAATCAATGATCTTCTGACCTTGACTGTGTTCTGTATGCTAAAAATAGCTTTTTTGAACCCTCACCATAACTTTTGAACGATGAGAGATAGAGACTTCATATTTGGTATGCATATACCACTGATAAAGCTCTTTTAAATGACACCATGATCAATGACCTTATGACCTTGACTGTAACCTATAAGCTAAAAAAATATTTTTTTTAACTTTGTTGCCGCCGGGTGCATAGTGTTTCACAAACATATCTTGTTTTTTTTCTTAATATTCAATCTAGCTTAATTGGAATGAATTCCCCGTGTACCTATTACACGCATTTGATATAGACCGTTTTGCACTACTGGCCTCTCTGCAATTTCAAGAATTTTTCAATTTTCAATTACAGGCGGATCAGTGACTGTCATAGACATATTAACACACGGAGTTAACGCTGTTTACGTTATCGTCAATGTTAGCGTCACAGCCGTTCCTATCCGGATCTATCATCTCTTCCACGGTGTTTTATTCGGAGTAATGTATGTCGTTTTTACTGTGATATACTATGCCGCTGGAGGGACCAATCACCAAGATAAAGCTTACATTTACTCAGTGTTAGACTGGGATAATCCGGGCATTACTCTAGCGTACTGCTTAGCCGTTGGAATAGTCGCCATGCCCCTCTGCCATCTTATGGTTTACGGAATATACGCTTTAAGGCGATGTCCATGTAGAAGAAACGAAGATACTTCAAAACCAGTCTAACCAAGTTTAAAAACTCAGGAGAAGTCCTGGTTCAGGGGAATCTGATATATACTAGAACTCAGTCATAAAAATCAAAGTACAATGTATTTCCTTTGTAAATCAGTGTTGAATATGATCACATGCACATTGTACGTCTTAAAAACAAGGTACATGTATTTCTCTTTCTTGATAATAAATGTCCTTGTTAATTATTATACAAATATTAGTGTTGTCACGATGATCGATTTATAATCGATGATCGGTCGGAAAGGCTGTCGATTTTAGACAATCGATTTGAGATTTTAACAATCGATTAATCGGTATATTTCAGCACATATCTTTTTTATAGTTTTCTCACTTTTATTTCAAGAACAGGCTCTTGTTATCAAAATATATATCTTTCAAGAGTTGTCCTTTACTATTTTAGAATACATGTACTTAAAGTCTGTTTAAAATAAATCAAAAGATAATGATATTTGTATTTCTAAACTGAAGAAACTAAACTACTTGTTGAAGTAAAATATATTAATTTTCAGTATTTGGGGGAATTCACCTGTCATTTCATACGGAATCACAAGGAATTTGCAATATTAAATGTCTTATAACAGTTTAAAATATTAATTCCATATACATTTTAGATGATCATGTAAATTAAAACCTGATCTGTCAATGCTTACTTTTCCCAGGCCAAGTAATTCCTAATCATGCAAAAATCTGTATTACTGAAATCTTTAATCAAACTGCATATATACTGTTTTTAGAATTTCGATCTGTACAATGCACCTTTACTTACATTATTTAGCAACAAAATTCTAATTTTTATAAAATCTAATACCTATTTTATGCAAAGGGTTACCGATTCGATTATTGGCCAATAATCAGTCGGTTAGGGTCAACTGATGTTACCGATTAATCGATTCTGTGTTCAACCGATTTGACAACACTAACAAATATGGACTCAATGTAGGTCAATATGCATTTATAATGACCCAGGGTGACAGATATTGACCGAAGATACATGGAGTATATCGACCGAGGGCGCTAGCCCCAGGTCGATATACGCCATGTATCTGAGGTCAATATCTGTCAGTCTGGGTCATTATAAATGCATATTGACCGTGCATTGAGTCCATATTTATTATATTATATAAATAATATTTTCCCAAATTTATTAATACAATGTATATCTTCCTAATGTTTACAGAGATAGTATTAACCTTAAATAAGTTGAATGTAAATGTTGCAGAATTAACTGAATGTTACTCAGATGAACTTGTTTCGGTAATAAATTAACCTATAGCATAATGATAACGCTAGATATCTATCTCCGAATAACACAGAGTACCTCCTCCCCCAGATTGAGAATTGCACTCGTTCACATGCACTTGCAGAGGAAATTATATGCACTGACAAAATATAAATACCTATGTCTTCTACGATAAGATACAATCATATATGGCACACTCGTCTTTATTTTCTTTAGTCTCCGTAATCGCGTAAACGGCGTCAAAACTCTGCTCGCCGAGTGGAAAAGTCGAATTCAACCATGAAATGGTATGCGCTACTGTAAGTATTCCCGAAAAATGTTCACAGATATCCTTGTAATTGTTTTGTATTCTCAGCCTTAGAGTTCTTCACTATATCTTTTAAATTTTCCTCGCCTACAACTTGCAAACTTGCGAACTTCCATGTTTATTTAAAGCGAAAGTGAAAACGAGGCAGGTCGTGCGAGTCATTATTCGCTTTCAGCGATCGTTATTAAAAAATAATTACTTCGTATTGACCAATCAGATTACCGGATTTCACAATAAATATATTTTTTAAAATAAACTTTTAAAATTATATATATACCTGGTAAAGAGAAAGAAAAGTTTAAGTACTCGTGAATAAAACAAGCTGCTTTGCCCTAAACTGATTGGGGAAAAAATCCTAGACTTCATCTTTTGACCCACAAAATCGTGATTTTTTTTTAAAGCGCACGTTGACAAAATTATTAGGCATGGGCATTAGCCTGTGCCCATTCATCCAGTTCATAAGAACATGTGGATTGCAAATGCATTTTTTCAATTAGATTTCCTTTTTCTGTTAGAAAATTGAAGAATGCATTATATTGAGTACTAGTAGAGATTTCCCCCTTGTACACAGATCGCAACTCAGGATTTGGACATTAATGTTCAGATCAAATATTATACATTTCTAAGCTGATTATTGACTGGATTCGAAGGCAACCTGCGTTTTGTCGGGCCTAAGAAACAAACGGCCTTAGGCAAACATTGGTTCGAGGGTCGACAAAACGCATTTTGTCCGAGAACAGTCTATGAATGTTTTGTTATTATTATTTTTTTTTTTTTTTAATTTTTGATATCTTTTTTTTTACGCGTATGTATATCTTGTGTTATCTTCCGTGATATAAACTGGGATTTAACTCGGCTAATTCCGTCCCTGTCGAATTCCAACGAATGCAAATGAGATTTCGACAAGTCGACAGGTCCAACATCTCACTCAGCGGTCAAACATCGATTTTTATGACCGCTCAGTTAAACATTAAAAGTGACATTTTTCATGTAGACTTGTAAGAACACATTTTTAAAGTAAAGCAATACGAATAATATATTTATCACAAGTACATAGTACTTTAGCAGTCATTTAATTTTTTTTCAAGTAAACTTTCATTATGCGTGTATTTATATTCTATTGAAAGAAAATAAAGAATGATAAGAAATCTTATTTTGGTTTTGATGCTTTATCCTCAATGATGTGTATCTCGATGAATAAATATACTTATCGTAACATATTTTATAACGTTTTTGAAAAAAAAAACCAAGGTGTGTTTGTGAAACACTGATGCCCCCGTACGACAACATAGCGAAGGTTAAAATTTCTTAAATGCAAATCAAATATTTTGATATCCAAAGTAACGCCTTCTCACGAGAAATATAAGTGTGAAATATTAAACCTAAGCAACGACTGTTCAAAAGTTAATGCCAAGGTTAACGTTTTTAAAGGTAGGTCAAACTCCGGATTCAAGGTCAAAGGGTCAACGTTGATTTCTGAAGAAAGGCCTTGTCACAAAGATTACATATGGGAAGTATGAAAGCCTTTGCCCTAACCGTTCAAAAGTTATCGCCAAGGTTAAAGTTTTTAAAATGCAGGTCAAGGTCAAAATGTCAAAGTTGTTGGTCTTGTCACAAAGAAAACAAATGTAAAATAAGAAAGTTCTAGTCCTAACCGTTCAAAAATTATTGCCAAGGTTTCAGTTTTTTTAAAAGTAGGTCAATCTCCAAGGTCAAGGCAAAGGGTAAAAGTTGTTGGTATCCTACACAGGCCTTTAGATCGCTTAGAAAAGAATTTGAGGTGTATAAATCATGTAAAAAAAATCTTTTTTAAGCGACCCAAAGGCCTGTGGTATCCTATGGAAGGTCTTATCACAAATAATACTAGTACATTATTATTATGAGAAGTATGAAAGCCCTAGCACCAACCGGTCAAAAGTTATGGTCAAAATAAAGTTTGGAATTGTCAAATTACAGTTCAAGAGGTCACATTTGGTGGTACCAAAAGCAAGGTCTTGTCACAAGGAATTCACCTCTGAAATATGAAAGCCATAGTCCCACCCAGTCAAAAGTTATGGACAAGGTTAAAGTTTTTGCGAACAAACAGACGGACGGACATGGCAAAAACTATATACCCCCGAAACTTCGTTTACGGGGACATAAAAATGTACATGTATTATTACCAAGGCCGTATAATAAGATTTCTTTCATAGCTAGCTTTATCTCTGGAATCTGTACCCGAGTAAGACTTTAAGTGCAATTCTAACACTTGAATCACCCCACAGTATCAATCAATATGTATGGTATCGACAATTTTTTGTTAAAATGTAATTGATATCATTTTTAAAATTTAAAAATAAATGATTGTTTTCGACTGAAAAATAATTTATAATTTTTAAAATCTAAAAATAAATGATTGTTTTCGACTGAAAAATAATTCAAATCTAAGAGAAATCTTTCAAATAATATTTCATACCCAAAATGATAATTTTCAAAACAAATTACCCAAAAAAACCGCAGTACTCAATATCTCAACATCTCTTTTTGCACAATGGCATCTGTTTGACGAGAGGCCTGTGCCCACAATGCTCACATGAGTAACATTTACCATGTTGTGCAGCTTTCTTGAGAAGAAGATTTTTAAAGAAGTTTTATATATTTTTCAATGTAAAACTTGGATTCCCTAATGTGGCTCTGTCCTACACCCGGGAGTCATGATTTGAACAATTTATAATCTGCACTAGCCCAGGATGCTCCCACATGACATATGTTTTGGCTTTTCTGGTCCAGTAATTATTGAGAAGACTTTTTAATGACCTCGCCTGATTTTTGTCTTTTCTTGATTATCTCTCCTTGTAAGGGGGCTTAGTCCTTTACTTTGGCAATTTAATCTTCCCTTCACCCAAGGATGCTTTGTACAAAGTTTAATTAAAATTGGCCCAGTTGTTCTTGAGAAGTTGAAAATGTGAAACGTTTACAGACGGACTGACAACGGGTGATCAGAAATGCTCACGTGAGGTTTCAGCTCAGGTGAGCTAAAATTTAAAACAATCCACCTGTAGACATTCTAAATAATTCGTTTAAGGATTTTCCTACAGGAAAATGAGATTTGATGTGGAATTTCTGTACAGGAAAACCTATATCATGCAGATTCAATTTTCAGTCAATTTAATGGAAACACCCTCGTTTACTCGTATATTCCGAAGAATGTTCCCTGGGTATTAAACTTTTTCAATTATAGCTATTAAATAAAAAAAAAATGGTTGGTCAGCTCTCAGCAGCAAGATTCATATGAAAAACTTTGGGCTAACATAAATGAAAAATTGAAAATGCCATTAAAAATAGATAATTGTACAAATAAAGTAGATACATGCATTGAAAACGTGAAAAGTAAAACTAACTGATCAAATTTGATTGAAATAATTTTTGTTACTATAACTTTTACATTTACGTATTACTATTCCAGATTTAATATATTCATAGTGAAAATTAATAAGTCATTTATGAAGCCTATACCAAACATGGCAAAATGGTTATATCCCCGCCCCTTCAATGAAACATGATTTTCCATAATGCATGATTAAATACAAGTAAAAAAATCATTGATTTTAATCTTAGTACATGTGGGGGGAAAACTCGATATGTTAGAAAAGATAAGTTGTGACCTTGACTTGAAATGACATGTTAGGCTTGTATTACACATTCCAGGTGTACGCTTATCGCCCCAGGTATACTGTCAGAGTAAAAACAAAAATGGCGGCATCCGAAGAACAAATGATGTCGTCTGGGGCTGTTGTGTTACAGGAATTCGTGGAAATGTTTCAGCTTCCAAAAATTAGTCAAGTAGTGGGTGGAAAAGGATTAAAAGATGCCCCGTTTGGTGTGGGAGAGGCCCTAATGTTGAGAACGTTAGCAGTGGAAAGTGTGGGCTTCAGATTTTATGATGCGGACGCAGGTTCACGACGAGAGGTCAGAGTGCCTGTTGACAACAACTTCAAATTTCATGTTGTGCAGGACTACAATTCACCTTCTCCAAAAGTGTATCCGACTGTAGCAGATTTGTTGGAAGACTGTCCGACAGTTTTCAGAGCGAATACGGAAGTTTTGACCAAAAATGGAAGAACGCTACAATGTGGGAGTGTATTGAAGTTTGTGCGGAAAACACGGTCTATAACCGATAGAAGTCTGTGTTTAGAGTGTAAAGATTCGGCTGG